AATCTATAATTCAGCCTAGCTGAATTACGTTTTCTATAGGAAATCTATAATTCAGCCTAGCTGAATTACGTTTTCTATAGGAAATCTATAATTCAGCCAAGCTGAATTAGAGTTTCCGACGAAAATTTTGTGTTTAATTCATCCTTATGGTGTCTCCCATTGGTAATCTGCAATTCAGCTCGTCTAATTAGTTGTTTATTGCCAATTTTTTGTTGTTGCTGCTTATTTTCATAATTTCAAAATATTTTTGTTCTACGTAACCAGACATTTTAAGTACTAATTGTACTGATAATGTCAGAGAAATTTCACGGAAATAGTTGAAATATAAAAAGCAAAAAATACTCCTCCTCCTTCAAATAAAATAATCGATTGGATTTCGAAGAATTGCTATTTGACAGTTAACACAAGAAAATTGCCACAACAAACAAAAACTAAAAATAGTAGCAAATAGAGAAAAAATTGCAGACAAATACGTAAACAAAATTGTCAAATATTGTGACATCAAGACAAACAAATGTCAAAATTTAAAATAAAAATAATTTTATTAAAAAAAAAAAAAATAATTATGAAATAATGATAATTAGTATTTGTTATTAATTATTTAATTTGTATTATGACATTATTGACGTCCTACAGCTGATTATTGTGTTGGAAAAAAAGAAAATACAAAAACAGCTGATTACTGATTAAATAACTTGAACTGTCAAACCTTGTCTATGGCATAAAAAAACTATTTGGAATGTAAACAAAAAACATATTTGGTTCGTCTGTTTCTCATCAATCATCAAGTGATAGCCTCTCTCCATAAAATATTGGTTTTTTATTCAAAAACAATTTGAATTATTTTTTTTTTCTAACCTGTTTATAATACGTGTTACTAGACACCAGCTGATGGCAGACCAACAAACAAAAACAAATACCTGTTGATAATGTCAAATATTCTAATACTCCAATAATTCTTTTTGACTAACGTCATCATCAACAGTCCCCCGTTCAGACGTCACAATTAAAAAGAAATGTTTAAATATTTAAACTATTTAAAGTTTTTGGAGAATTAAAAGACTTAATGAATATTTATCATTATGAAAAAAATTAATAAAAAAACAAAACACCAAAATTGACGTAATTGTTAAAAAGACTCTAAAAGCTGTCATTGATGAGCTAACTCAAAACATTGTTTTGGTAAACAAACAAACTTATTAATGTAAACAAGAGCACCTTCTTAACTTCGAAGTCATAAAAGAAATCCCATGTTGTTCAAATAATATTTTTTATGGGCTATTAAATTTATATAGGCTTTAGGGATTCCAAAAAAAAAAATTAATAACAAAAAATTTTCAAAACATTTTGTCGATGAATAATATTTTGTGTGGAGATTTGGTTCACAAAAAATTCCAATTAGAAAAGGTGGAGGAAAATTACTGTATATTTATCTGTGTAAATACTACAGCTACAAATTTTAGTTGTTTGGAGACTTGTGGTGAAATTTAATGGAGAATATTTTCACCTTTGACATCATATTCATAGTGGGCTTACAAACGGGTCGAATCGGCACCAACTTAAGAAATTTAGTAAATTTACAAAAAAAAAATGTTTGTTTAGATTTTATATTGCGGTCGATTTAAAATCGAGATCTACTATATATACCGATATCCTTTAGTCGGGGACCTATAGTGAAATTTGATGGAGAATATTTTCACCTTTGACATCGTCTTCATAGTGGGCTTACTAACGGGTCAAATCGGCACCAACTTAAGAAATTTAGTAAATTTACTAAAAATTTTTTGTTTAGATTTTATATTGCGGTCGATTTAAAATCGAGATCTACTATATATACCGATATCCTTTAGTCGGGGACCTATAGTGAAATTTGATGAATAATATTTTTTCCTTTGACATCGACTTCCTAGGGGCAATATAAAGGGTTGAAATTGGCCCTAGCTTAAAATTTTGTTCGAATTTGCCTAAAAAAATAATATTTTACATGTAATCCAATTTGGATCGATATTTAAGTGATATATGCTATATATTCATATTTCTTTGTTTGGAGACTTATAGTGAAATTTGATGGAGAGAATTTTCTCCTTTGGAATCGACGATCTAGGGGGAGTGTAAAGGTGTAAAATTTAGCAACAATTGAAAATAATGGTTGAATTTGCCCAAAAATTGTATTTTACATAAGTCCAAATTGAGATCGATTTTTAAGAGATATATACTATATCTAGCGATTTCCTTTGTTCGGAGACATATTTTGGAATTTAATAAAGAATATTTCTTTCCTTCAAATGAACTTCGTAGAAGGCGGCATTATAGGGAAAATAGGGTTGGACTCAAAAATTGGTAGTATTATTGGAAGGAATTTTTTTTTGATTGCATTTTATTACAAATTTTTGAGATTTTTTCGGGTCTGCAGATTTTTCATCTTTGGAGACATATAGTGAAATTTGATACAGAATATGTTCTTCTTTATAATTGGATTCGTAGGAGGAGTATAAAGAGGTCAAATTGGCACAAATTGAAAATAATGCTTAAATTTGCTCAATTTACATAAGTCTAAATTGAGATCGATTTTTAAGAGCTATATACTGTATCTATCGATTTCCTTTGTTTGGAGACATATTGTGGAATTTAATGGATAATATTTCTTCCCCTTACATGAACTTCGTTGAAGGCGGCATTATGGGACAAATAGGGTCGGACTCAAAAATTCGTATAATTATTGTAAGCAAATTATTATTATTACATATTATTATAGCCTATTAGAAATATATCTGTTGGGCCTACAGATTTTCCATCTTTGCAGACATATAGTGAAATTTTATGGAGAATATTTTCTTCTTTATAATTGGATTCGTAGAAGGAGTATAAAGGGATCAAATTGGCACCAATTGAAAATAATGGTTGAATTTGACCAAAAAAAAAATATTTTTCATATATCCAAATTTTTATCGATTTTTAAGAGCTATATACTGAATCTATCGATTTCCTTTATTCGGAAATATATTGTGGAATTTAATGGAGAATATTTGTTTCCTTTACATGAACTTCGTAGAAGGCGGCATTATAGGGAAAATATTGTCGGACTCAAAAACTGGTAGTATTATTGGAAGGAAATTATTTTTATTGCATATTATTACAAATTTTTAGAGATATATTGTGGGTCTGCAGATTTTTCATCTTTGGAGCTATATTGTGAAATTTTATGGAGAATATTTACTCCTTTGATATCGAATTCCTAGGTGGGATAGAAAGGGAAGAATTTGGTATCAACTCCAAAAAAAGTTGTTAATTTGCCAAAAATATAATATTTGTATATAATCAAATTCAGGTCGATTTTAAAGGGATATATAGTTTAACTACCCATTTCCGTTGTTCGCAGACTTATAGTAGAATTAAGTGGAGAATATTTCTTTCTTTGACATGAACTTCCTAGAGAGTTGTATAATTGGACAAATGGGATCGGAATCAAAATTATTGCAATTTATTAATAATAATTATTATATCCAGATTATTACCGAATTTTAGAGATATATATTAGGTCTACAGATTTTTCTTCTTTGCGGACATATAGAACAATTTTATGAAGAATATTTGCTCCTTTCACATCAACTTCATAGGGCGGTGATATACGTATAAAAGCGAAGTTCTTCTACATAAGTCTTATTTGCGCCCATGCTCCGAGGGAAGACAAAGATGAACAGACCAGAGATATTTTTTACGAGCGCCTAGAAACTGCATAAGACCGCTACCCTGGCCATGACATTAAAATCCTGCTAGGAGATATTAATGCAAAATCGGAAGAGAACATATTTTTGGTCCCACCGTCGGAAAAGTTCAGCATTCATGAAGCAACATCCGGCATGAGGTTGATTGACTTCGCGGCAGCAAAAAACATGGTAGTTAGCAGCACCAGATTCAATTAAATTCAGCAAGGTGGACCTAATGTAACACGGAAACTCGACGTCGAAAAGCTGCGAACACAACAGGTGGTAGAGGCCTACTCCGCTCAACTTACCCACCTGCTTGACGGAAGCACTTCTTGTCCCGATAATGGTATAGAAGCACAATGGCAAATAATTACCCACTCCCTACAAACTGCCGCAAAAGCAACACTTGGGTATCAAAAACCACCATCAAGAAACCCATGTTACGATCAGGAGTGTCGTAATGCTACTGATGTGAAAAACGCAGCGTATAGGGCAACCCTGCAGACAGTAGCAACACGTAACACGGAGAGAGGAGAAATGTATTCTCAGAAAAAAAGAAGAAAGAACAAGAAAAACGTGATCGTGAGCAAATCGAGATGTACAGGAGTCAGAATGAAGTTCGGAAATTTTGCCAACGAGTAAAACACCAAACCGAAGGCTTCATCTGTAGAGATGAAGAAGGAAAACTGGTCACAGATACAGATAGCGTGCTGAGGATCTGGAAGGAGCATTTTGAAAAAAACTTCTGGTATCAAATAGTAGCGGCGAAGAGGATACCCCAGAACCAATAATAGATGACGGTATAGAGTGTATACCACCTAGCCAAGATGAGGTCAGAATAGCAATCAATCGTCTGAAGAATAAGAAAGCAGCAGGTGCCAATGGGTTACAAGCCGTACTATTCAAGACTGTTGGTCAGATGCTGGTAAGGAGCATACACCAACTGATTAGTACAATTTGGCTAGAGGAATGCATGCCGAATGATTGGAACCTCAGCATTTTCTGTCCCGTGCACAAAAAAGGAGACGATCTATTTCGTTCGGAGACTTATAGCGGAATTTTATGAAGAATATTTCTTCTATTGATTGCAATTTTCTTTAATGGAATATTGTGGTAGAAAATGTTCCAATTCTGAATAAATACAAAGTATAGCCGAAAAAATAATTATTTTATATATCCATATTGTTAACGATATTTTCAGGAATTATAATCGAACTAGAGATTTATATTGTTAGAAGCCTTAATGTGAAATTTGGTGAAGATAAATTTGTCTTTTGGCATCAAGCTCCTAAAGGGTGATTTTTTTGAGGTTAGGATTTTCATGCATTAGTATTTGACAGATCACGTGGGATTTCAGACATGGTGTCAAAGAGAAAGATGCTCAGTATGCTTTGACATTTCATCATGAATAGACTTACTAACGAGCAACGCTTGCAAATCATTGAATTTTATTACCAAAATCAGTGTTCGGTTCGAAATGTGTTTCGCGCATTACGTCCGATTTATGGTCTACATAATCGACCAAGTGAGCAAACAATTAATGCGATTGTGACCAAGTTTCGCACTCAGTTTACTTTATTGGACATTAAACCAACCACACGAATGCGTACAGTACGTACAGAAGAGAATATTGCGTCTGTTTCTGAGAGTGTTGCTGAAGACCGTGAAATGTTGATTCATCGCCGTTCGCAGCAATTGGGTTTGTGTTATTCGACCACATGGAAGATTTTACGCAAAGATCTTGGTGCAAAACCGTACAAAATACAGCTCGTGCAAGAACTGAAGCCGAACGATCTGCCACAACGTCGAATTTTCAGTGAATGGGCCCTAGAAAAGTTGGCAGAAAATCCGCTTTTTTATCGACAAATTTTGTTCAGCGATGAGGCTCATTTCTGGTTGAATGGCTACGTAAATAAGCAAAATTGCCGCATTTGGAGTGAAGAGCAACCAGAAGCCGTTCAAGAACTACCCATGCATCCCGAAAAATGCATTGTTTGGTGTGGTGTGTACGCTGGTGGAATCATTGGACCGTATTTTTTCAAAGATGCTGTTGGACGCAACGTTACGGTGAATGGCGATCGCTATCGTTCGATGCTAACAAACTTTTTGTTGCCAAAAATGGAAGAGCTGAACTTGGTTGACATGTGGTTTCAACAAGATGGCGCTACATAACACAGAGCTCGCGATTCTATGGCCATTTTGAGGGAAAACTTCGGAGAACAATTCATCTCAAGAAATGGACCGGTCCACCAAGATCATGCGATTTGACGTCTTTAGACTATTTTTTGTGGGGCTACGTCAAGTCTAAAGTCTACAGAAATAAGCCAGCAACTATTCCAGCTTTGGAAGACAACATTTCCGAAGAAATTCGGGCTATTCCGGCCGAAATGCTCGAAAAAGTTGCCCAAAATTGGACTTTCCGAATGGACCACCTAAGACGCAGCCGCGGTCAACATTTAAATGAAATTATCTTCAAAAAGTAAATGTCATGGACCAATCTAACGTTTCAAATAAAGAACCGATGAGATTTTGCAAATTTTATGCGTTTTTTTTTTTAAAGTTATCAAGCTCTTAACAAATCACTCTTTAGATGAAAGCATAAAAGGACAATTTGACACAAAATAAAAAATTCTGAAATCAGTGCAGAATTTTTTGTTAGGTTATGAGAAACAATTTTTTTCTTAGAATTCAGGTTGAATATTGAACCTTGACCTTAGATTAATATAAGCATTTGTTTCTGAAAATCCAAACAAATATCATATATGTTATGGGTTTATGGGTCTTATAAATAAAATAAAAATTCCACCAAATTCTAAGAACTTAATTTTCCATTAAAACTTTCGGTAAATCTTCTCAAGAAGTTATCATACCAAGATGTTATAAATACTGAATAAAAAGTTTAATTTATTATTATGGCAGTGTATAAATAAATGAAAATAAACCTTCGTTCATGGAAATGTTTAAAATAAATAATTAACGTGTGGCTTTTTACAACAACTATAATAAAAAAGTAATTTATTTACTTATAAAAATTTCCTTGGAAAGGTTTTCATCTTTTAATAAACAAAAAAAAAAACGTAATAAATATTTGCATAAAACATAATAGGGAAGGAAATGATTTAACAAAAAATAAAATCTGAAAAAAAAACACAAAAAGTATTCAAACAAATTCTGCTGCAATTTATCAAGAAAGACACTTTTCGCTTTTGTTGTGATATAAAAATAAATATTTATTTTTCTAGAGCCAAGGAGGAGCAGAAGGTTTGATAAAATTGCAAAAAAATGAATCATGAATAGATTTAAATGTGAAAAAAAAACAAAACCAACCAATAAAAAATAAATATAAACAAATACTATAAAATGGAATCGGAAATAAAACGATGCAAAATATGTGTTACCAACTGTTTTTTTTTTTGTTTTATAATCCGTTTCTTAAATAATTCCTGGTATAAACAATTTTATTATATTTATATTTATTTAATTTTTGTTTTATTTTATTTTTCTTAAGAAGTCATAACAAGAGTAATTTCTCGAAGTGAAAATACTAGAATAATGGTTCCATAAAATTTATTAAGATAACTAATTCCCAGTCTACTCTTTTTGTTATTATTTGCTAGATGATAAGAGATTTCCTGTCTATGATGGAATTTAAGAGAGCACCGAGTCTGGATGCTCTTTGTCACAGAAATGTTAATGTCAAAATACGATTTTAGAAAAATATAAAGCAAAACCTTGACATTATTATAATTCGCATTCGTGTACTTTGTGTACTCTGATATCCGCTGCGCAAAATTCACAAATATTTGCATTTTATTCAAAGATAAAATGCCATTCGAATGGGAAGTGTGGAAAATAAATACCAGGGCACAGATAGGGAAGATATTTGAATGGGGAGGAAATAAGTTTAGGGATCTCTTCAAAACTAACAGAAGATCTTCTAAAGGTCCTCCTATACATATGAGAGCATTTATATATATATATATATATATATATGTATAATGTTTTTCATAAGTACTCCAAAGATTGTAGTCCCCCAGATCTATAATAATTTTAATAGTCTTTTATTTTTGGAATTCCGGTTGGTATGTATCAATGTGGAAAAATATTGTACCCAGAGGATTGTTGTCAATAGAAGATATTCTCTCCATTAAATTCCACTAAAAGTCTCCGAATAAAATATATTATATATCCACAAAATATCGGAATAAATCTTGAGGTATATAAAATATGATTTCAATTAATTAATCCAGTTTATTTCCAAATTGAGGTCGATTTGAACCTTAACATTTTGCCCTAGAGAATTGTTGTCAAAGAAAAATATATTCTCCATCGAATTTCACTATTTGTCTCCAAACAAAAAATCGGTAGATCGGTAAATCGGATACAAAATTATATATTGGTTTTTTAAAATTTTTTTCGTACTAGTTCAGCTGAAATTCAAAATTTCTCCACAAAACTACATTGTAGAAGCTAGTTGTCAATGGATGAAATATTCTTCATCGAATTTCACTATAGGTCTCCAAAATAATGACATTTGTAAATATTGTATATACCATTCGAAAATCGATTCCAATTTGAATTTAACAATTAAAAAATATTGTTCTCGCTGATTAAATGTTTATTTAGGTTCAGCCCAAAATCCTCCACAAAACTTTTTTTTTTTTTGGAGGGTTAGTGCCAAAGAAAAAAACATTCTCCATCGAATTCCACTATAATTCTCCGAAGAAGCGAAATCTGCAGATATATTAGTTTTCTTTAAAATAATGGTAACAATTTTGGTATATAAACAATATATTTTAGAGAGCCAAAGAATGTAGAATGAAGACCCCTATTGTTTTTGGTATAGATCCGTTAATATTAAGGGTATGAAATGGACCAAAAACTTTATTTTTGTCTGATATTCTTATCGCTCCAGAGGCTGCAATTATGGCCAGAACATCGCGAATTTTCACATGTAGAAGGGGATCGAGCCAAAGAATAAGCATGCCTGTTTTGAGAATAAGCATGCCTGTCAATATTTAGCGGGTCAAATGGACCCTAACTTTTGTGTGAAAAATCGCAAAATTAGTATTCTATGTGTATATATTTACTCCTGAAGGACATAGACCCTAGAAGCCGATTATATACACAAGAGGAGTGGTTGACCTTTAAATTGATACCAATTATATTGCCGTATGTACTTGGATGTGAGAGTTACACTTAAACAATTACAGGTGCTTACGTATTCAGATATTATTCAGTGACCCATTACCACAATAGACTGCAGAAATATAGCGCTGATCGCTTTGACATTTTGCATGAGGATCCGGGTATGGTCAAGGACAATGCCTATAATTTTCGGTGATGACCAGATAACAATTTTGGGATGAAATGGACCGAAAATTTATTTTTTGTGTTTTTTTTTCGAGTCGATCTATAGCCCCAATTGAAAGCCGAATATCACAGCACAAGCCACAGTTAAAGGAAAGTGGACATGTAATTAGAAGGGCTGTACTCAATATTAGTATAATTCGGAAAATATGTCAGTGTAAGGAAGAGGTGCTATTGACCTCATATCGGATAAGATGTTGCAACTATCATGAAATATTGCCCAGTCTCGGAATATCGTATCGCCGGCCCCGTCCGTCTATTCTGCTTCGCTCTCTGATTTATTTTATTATTTTTTTTACAAATTGTCTTTATTTTTTTGTTATAATCAGTAGCCCGTGTTAGATAATTAACAAAAAAAAAAAAAAAATATCTCTATTTTATTGTTGTAGTTTTTTACTGAAAAAATTTAAGACACTTAAAGGAAAAAATTCCCAACTGATTTTTTTCTAGTCATCAAGAAAAAAAAAATTAAGGGGATTTTAATCACATTCGATAGATAAAAATAAATTTGTGTTGTGTTTTTTTTTATTTTATTATATTATTTAACAATGTAATTTGATTTGGATGGCTAACAGATTACGAATGTAGATTAAGGTTAGTTAATTCACACAAATTAAATACATGGCGTATTAAACGAGGTTGGAGATCTTTTAGTAGATTTGACTATGACATGTGTCATAAAAATTCATTCAAGTGGCAATATTAGAAACAATAACATTTTTCTATGTACAAAATTTATAAAAAAAAATAAGGAAAAAAATTACAATACGCAATTATTTAAATAATAAAATAAAATTAAAAATCGTTTTAAAATTACAATTTTTAATAAAAAATATATTAATAAATAAATGAAGAAAAAAATAAATAAATTTTCAATAGAAAAATTTAACCTCCATATTAGGGCACACCCAAATGTTCGGTATTATTAGAATGGATGGATTCCATAAAAATATTTGATTATATGGTCCGTGAAAAATGATTCTTTAAGAAATTAAAGCTTTAGAATTATGATTTTCCATTAGTTCCATGTTAAAGGGGCGTATGACTACTGTTGTTAGTTATACGCCCTCGTGTACGATATATTTCGGCAGAATACCTTTTAGAGGATTTCTATTAATTAATAATTAATTGTTTCACATTGTAAACCAAATTTTATTTATTAATCCTTTGCAAATGAGATTTTCAATGAAGCATATTGACCATTTTTGGGGTTAACCCAAATGTTCGGTATTTTTCCATAGAAAAATATATCTAATTGAGAATGTTTTAACCTATGCTTAAAGGGGAGCATTTCCAGTTCAAATTTTTCTATCTAGCTCGAATAAATTTCTTATATTATACGCATACATATCCATCCTTTGCATAAATAAAGGATAATAATAATCCCCAAGAAATAAATATTTTGAAAACACAGAGTTAAAAAAACCAGTAAGGAAAGTAGTAAAGTCGGACGACTATATGATACCCTTCACCACTGTGGGTATATTCAACAGATGAATCCTAACAGACGTCGAATTTTTGAAGGACCATTAACATGAAAATGGATCCATAAACATGTCATTCTGCAACCTATACTATAATTTTCATTTGGTCAGATACAGGGTTGCTTCAAGCTAGCTAATATCTACTTCAGTACGCTGTGCCAAATTTTTTTGTCGGCCTACCTTGGGGTCTTTGGTGAACCATTTATATATCGGACGAAAATATATATGGGAGATATATCTAAATCTGGACCGATTTTCAGGAAACTTAGCACACACGATTCTAGACGTAATTCAGTACGCTGTGCCAAATTTCGTGCAAATCGAAAGATATTTAGGGACTTTGGTACACCATTTACATAAAATCGGACGAAAATATATATGGGAGATATATCTAAATCTGGACCGATTTTCAGGAAACTTAACACACATAATTCTAGACGTAATTCAGTACGCTGTGCCAAATTTCGTGCAAATCGAAAGATATATAGGGTCTTTGGTACACCTTTTACACAAAATCGAACGAAAATATATTATGGAGCTATATCTAAATCTGAACCGATTTTCAGGAAACTTAGCACACACGATTCTAGAAGTAATTCAGTACGCTATGCCAAATTTCGCGCAAATCGAAAGATATATAGGGACTTTGGTACACCATTTACATAAAATCGGACGAAAATAT